ATGTTTGCAAAGTGTTGAAATATTTTTCCACTCATAAAAATATGTTTACGGAAAACAATCTGCTTCAGAAACCGCAAAACATTTGTAAAATGGATGAGACTGGGATGCAGTTTGATTACTGGAAAAAAAAAATGCTAAAAAAGGAGTTAAGTATCTACATTGTTGTCAATGAGGTAACTGGGAGAGTAATAACTTCTCTTCCACCACATTTCATAATTAAAGGAAAACTACTAAGTCTCTCTTGAGTTTTCCAAATGCCTCAGAAAAAAGTACATGGAGTGCTTCAGGCAGTGGTTGGACAAAGTGAGGCATTGCATTTCTATGGTTTACAAAGTCATTTCTTTCCGGAACATTTAGATTTTTATTAATATATTTGAATTTGTTTACTCTTACAATATAAAAAGCCCTCGTTGTTCAATTAAAGTTTTTTTTTTTGATTTTCACAGAAATTTCATTGCCTTTGACCAAATTGCCCCTAATGGAGCAAACTAGCTCTAGGATTCTTACATATATTTTAGACTTTTATTAATGTGTAGGGACTTGTTTATTCTGTAAAAAAGTTAATTTTTATTATTTTTACAGAGCTTTAATTGTTCCTGACCCAATCGCCCCGATTCGAGGGAAAGAACATCTAAAATTTTTACATATTTTTTTGATATTTATAAATGAAAATGAATTCATTCATTCTGAGAGTTTGAAAAAACTCTGTTTTAAACAAAAATTAATTTTTATTGTTTTTACAGAGCTTTGATTGTTCTTGGTTTAATGGCCCTGAATGGGAAAATGAAACGAACCCTAAGATTTTTACACATTTTTATGATATTTATAAATGTTAAAGAATTTATTCACTCTGAGAGTTTGAAAAGCTGTTTATCTTTAACTAAAGTTAACTTTTACGGTTTTAACAAAGCTTTTATAGCTTTTGACCCAATTGCCCAATATGTGACAAACGAGTAGTGAGATCCTTACGTAGGGGCCCCTAATATGAGAATAATAATTTGTAGAATAATTTTTGAATGCTTTGATTCTTTAGAAAAAAATATATATATAAAGATAATTTAGCATTAGTACTTCATTGAAACTCTCATTGAAGGCATTTAAAAAACAAAGCTAATATTAAAATTTGGTGCCATAAATCCTTAAGAAAAACTCTTGAAAGACAAGAAAAACAAATCTTGACTCAAAATAGGCGTTATTGAGTCCAACATAAACTGTCATAAATTGGGAACCAGTTATCCAAATTTAAAAAAACGAACTCATTCTGAAAACTTCTTTATAGCCAGAGATAATAACAACAGTATAATCGTGTGAAGTGTCTATTGTTATACAAACTATTTTTTGGGACCAGCTAAAACTTATAGGGAAAGATGGGGCAAGATGGAAAACGTTTATAAAGCTCTGAGTTATTGCAAAACTATTAGTCATGTAAAAATAATGCTTTGTCAGTATGTTTATGCTATCAAAATGATTAATTATCTGCATGAAAATTCAGTAATTCAGTAACTCATACAACAATATTGTTTTTTATTACGATAAAATATCATTTGCGGGAGGCAAATGATATTTTATCGTACTTTTTTGTTTTCATTTAAAGAAAACTGCTACTGATACTCCTCGAATGCTTAAGGAAGGTGAACATATTCCATCGAAAACAACTTGTGAAGACTGGTTTAGACAATTTAAAAGTCGTGATTTTGATCTGAAAGACAAACAACGTCAAGGTCAAGAAAAAAAGTTTGAAGACAGCGAATGGCAAGAATTATTGGATAAAGACGATATACAAATTCAAAAAGAATTGGCAGAAGCATTAATGTTTGTCAAAAAATAATTGTTTGAAAGCAATGGGAAAGATCCAAAAGCTGGGAAAATGGGTTCTACATCAGTTTGAACCATTCCTTGATTAAAAATCGACCGGAATGGAAGAATAGGCATGAAAAAGTGATTTTGCAACATGATAATGCTTGACCACACAAATCAAAAGATGTGAAAAATACATTAAATGCACTTAAATGGAAAAAATTACCACATCCGCCATATTCACCAGACTTGGCTCCATCCGAGTACCATTTGTTTTCATTAATGTCGTTGAAGTAGACCAGCACTTCAATGAAGATGAAGAAATCAAAAAGTGGTTTGATGAGTTTCGCTTTAAAAAACGAACAATTTTATCGAGACGGAATTTGTAAGTTGCTAAAAAGATCGGAAAAATGTGTAGCTAACGACAGAAAATACTTTGAATAAACCATCTATAATCTTTTGCTAAAAAAATTAGTTTGATTTGATTAAAAAAAATCCTGTTTTTAATTACTACACCTGGTAAATACAGTCTCGTTTTAACCGATTTTTAAGGTTTTTTGTTGAGTTGTTATATTAAAATCCTTCTTGCCCCATTCGCCATCTTGCTCCGTTTTCCCTATTAAGTTTTTAGCATTTTGATGCGAAAATAAATTGTAAAAAAAATTCTTTTTCTAACTTTGCACTTTTTTTGAGGCCCCAGATGATCCCTAAGGAAATTTTTTTTTATAATTTATGCAAGTTAAAATATTTACCTAAATTCAGGCTCTTTAAGACTGCACTTTAATATTTACAAAAAATTTTGCCGTTAGGGACACAGAGCTTAAAGAATAAAAACAGAGGCAACTAGTCCCGGTCTTTCCTATAACGTCTATTTTGTATTTTAAAATTATTTTATTTTTGAAATTATTTATCCATTGTTTAATGTTTATTTATAAAGAAATTTTAATCTTTTCATATTTTTTTGTAAATCATAATAACTTATTTTTAAAATAGACTATTTTAAATTATTTAAACAATTCTTCAATTTAATAACTCTATATTGACTTGACAAAAATATTTTTAAATTATTGTAGAAACTGAATCTTTCTTATCAATCTAGCTTATGAATCGAGCGTATGATTCGGCAAGTTTTTTACTACTAAATGTTCTACCCAGTCTTCACCAACCACACCATCTAAACATGCCACTGTTTTTATTTATCATTCAGTAAACTCGTATAGTTGATTATGATAGTTATCCTATTATATGTTAAACATCAAACTTACAACATAAATAGAAATGTGATTACATATTCTATAAAAAATTTAAGTTTAAGCTGAGTTCTAGACTTTATTGCAAATTCTTTTACATTTGTATAACACACACACACACACAAAAAAAAAAAAAAAAAATTATTATTTACTATTATATGTATTTCTATAGCTACTTAAAAAATTTGCTAGGATTTAAAAAAAATATGTTTTCTAAATAACTAAAGTTTAAAATTCTATTGGTTATGCACCATAACTCTTTTCTTGTTTAAGTATGAAAATTTAACAATGCAGACATTTTTTTTTGTCTAATATGCTAAAAATGTAATAATAGACTTTTATTTAGGATAGTTTTAATGTGTCTGAACAACATGGAACCAAGTGATTATGATTGACTCTGAACCTTACTTTATCTAAGTATAGAAAGCACGAAAATTTAGTGTGGAACGTAAAGAAGAACGTAAAGAATAAACAAATGTTTGTTAGGCGGATAAAATTATTTTGGTCACTCAGCACTGTACCTTTCCTTTTGTTTCTTAAAATGTCTAACATTTGTAATCATGTAGAAAATGCTTCAGAAAAAAACAATGTTGTTTCTATAAATGAAATTTGAACGAAATTTTCTAATTAATCAATTAAAAAAAGGATTATCTAGGAAAAGGATAATTCTAATGAACTTTAGAGGTTATTAAATAGAACAAGTTCATCTTAACTTGATAATCTTAAATTAAACTTCAGTGCTGAAGCATATCAAAACAAAAATGCAAAATTTTACATTGTTTAATTTGTATTCCCAGTGGGCACCGGACCTAAAAAAGACGTCTTTTGAACGTTCAAAAGACGTCTAAAACGTTCAAAAGACGTCAAAAATGTGAATAAGACGTTCAAAAGACGTCTATTTTACGTCCGCGCCCACTGGGTTAACTAATCATAGACTATTTATAAATCAGAAATTTTTGTAACAGTTGGCTTAAAAATTAAGATTAACATTGAATGATTAAAAGATATTAAAGGAGCTTTTAGTAAAAACTCCAGAAGTTTTTACTAAAACTCCCAAGCTAATTAAAGCTTTCTTATCAAGTTGCGGAAAATAAGGAAACATTTTTTCAACAATTTTTTAATTTTTTTTTTTTGCAATTAATGCCATTGACCCATTTCAAAGGCATGAAATAAAGTTTGTAAAATTTATACAGAGTTAAATACTTTCCTTTTTAACAGCCTAAAAGTTCCGCATGTACCAATTTAATAAATTCTTTCGCAGTAGAAATAATATTTTGAAAACTTCCGCTTCAGGTAAAATTTTAAACAAAATTGCAAATATGTTAAAAATATTTCTAAATCTTAAAGAATATTAATTTATTTTTAACTTTAATTTATAGTTAAAAACGCAAATTGTTAAAAATTAGAACACATTAGAAAAAAGGAATGTTTAGCTAACATTTTGCCCAAACATTATTTGGACAAACTGTTATTATTAGTGGTTTGCATTTTTTTTTTTTAAATATTTTTATTGCGCTCCAATGCCTCTTTTTTATATACATTATCCAAAATAACTTTAGATTACAAAAAAGTAAAATACAAAAATTGAAAATTGAAAAATTTTAAATATAAAACATTCTTTGTTATATATAACTGTCTAATTTAAATATCATTTATGTCATTTGCTTCTAAAAACGCGACATAAAAAATCAACTAAAATAACTTATTGATTATTAAACTTATTTTCAAGTCTTCTCCGTATAATTAACTTTTCTGCAACGGAAAACCTTTTTTTTTATTATTGCTTGAAAATTATTTAAATATTATTTTATCTGTTTGTAGTTTTAAAAGTAAAAATATATGAGTAAAAAAAAAACGTATTCAAATGTATAAAAAAACAACGCATTCAAATGTATAAAAAATAAATTTATATAAAGTTAAACTATTTTAAAAAATTATAAATTTTGCACTTACAATAAAAGATTATTGATTGAGTGTTGTTTCTTTCAGATTTATTTTTTTGGTTTGTTTACTTTTTGAACGTTTTCGAGAACATAAATCTGTTTATGATAAAATATTGAATATTACAATAAATATAGTTTTAATAATACAGCTCATCATAAGATTTTAAAATCGCATATTAGATTTTAAAAACAATGCTAAAAAAAACTGTGATTATTATTAGAATAAACTTTAGACTTTTTTTTTATAAGTAATTTGAAAGTTGTGGTAAAATATTCATAAACTTATTTTTGTTATTATATTATTAATTGATGTTTTAGTATTATATGTTATATTTGTTTTAGTATTATATGTGATATATATATATATATATATATATATATATATATATATATATATATATATATATATATATATATATATATATATATATATATACATATATATATATATATATATATATATATATATATATATATATATATATATATATATATATATATGTATATACACCCAATAAAATTCACAAATAGTTTTATCAAAAAATACTAAAAAAGTTCTTTTAGAATAATGTTTTATCTAGCGTAACATTTCTTGAGCAAATATTCTGTTTTAGTGCACGTTTTACCGCCGTGAAAATGTCGATTTACGGATTGCATAAGATGATCTGGCTAATATACTGGCATAAGGTGCTGATCTGTCAAATCAAATATTCATTCAAACTGAAATAATTTAATCTTGTATACTGTATTGGTCTAGAGCATAGTTTAGTTACGGCAACCGGCAATTTAGTGGTAGCATTTAATATTAACTTAAATAGACGATCGAATATCTAAATGTTAGATTGATAACGAATGCTATTAGTAAAATTGAATTTATAAATTAAAAGTATTTAATGAATATGGAAACTAATTGCAGATCATTATAAAATTTGAAAATCCAAAAACCGCTGGCTCTAGTCATCAGAAAGAAATTTGTTTAAATTAAAAGTTTACAATTGTATTACATTTTTGATTGGTTTTGCGTTTAGTTGTTTTGTTCAAAAATAACAACTTAAACTATGATCTTTTGAACCAACATTTATGTGCTTGTAAAGTTTTTCGATTTTTAAGTACTTCATTATAATTTGTTTAAAAAATCCTAATTTGTTTGATCTGGTGTAGCACAGATCTTCTTTACTGCAGAAATGAGTACATTTTTTATTTGATTTATGACTGAACTTTATTCATCCATATTCCTTGACTATTTTACAAATTTATATTGTGTATATATATTAAATAGTATACATAACTATACTATTTAATATAGTGACGTGCTCTATTATATTATACTGAATTAAAAAGCAACAGTTATAATTAAAGAGACTTTTATTGTGGTACGTAGAAATAACTCACACGTTATGTACGAAGAAATAACTTACAATATATTTACATTTAGGTATATCAAAATATCATTACATTATAGGTATATCTAAAAATATAACTCTTACATTTAGCGTTTAATGTTTGCTTTTGTTAGTTACTATAAAACTTAGTTACGATTCTGTAAGATAGACTGCACATTCTTAAAATAATTATCTTTATAAGGATTACAACAAGCAAGTTTGAGTTTTTTAGTAATTTAACCTTTTAATATTGATTAATTTTTTGAATAGTTCACATTTTGTTTGTTATAGCTTTTATGTTGTTTTTTTTTCTGTTTATTTTATTGTTTGGAATTTTTAAAGATTTTTTAGTTTTGGCTATGTCAGCTTTTTAACAGTTTTTTTTTTTTTTTTTGATTTATTGTAATGGATTTTATATTATTGATTTGAAGATTAATGAAGTTAATTAAGGTTTATACCTATATATAAATTGCAGTTTATACCACAATTGTTTTTGCTGTTAGTTGTATTATTTAGTCGCTGAATTGCTGAGAAAATAGTATTTTAGTTGTATTTTGTTATTGAATTTGCAGTGTGTATGTGTTTGTTGGTTTAAAATTCAACATAAGTATTATTTTAAATTAAATCTATCTATTTTAAGTACATTAAATGTAAATAAAGATCGTGTTTGTTATTTATTCTTTTAACATTTTGTTTAGTTGATGAGGATGACAAAGATGTTGCAAGTATGTTTAAATCCATTTAAATTCTTCATGAATGTATTCATGGGTAGAATAAGCGTTTTACGTTTTAAGTTTTATTAGTTTATAGAAAGATATTAGAGAAGATTAGAGTTATATTTTGTTATCTAATTCTAATACAAATGTAAACATATATACTTTTTATTATTTTCTCTTTTTCCTTTTTTAGTTGAATGTAGAATGATAATGTTACCTAACGCTCCCAATAACTAGGGCCTTTAGCAATGAGGTCTTTTAACAAACGGTGTTCAATCGGCTGTATTAATGTGAGGGCACGCTGTCGTTTGAATGTTTTAATGGAGGGTTTATCTTATTCAGTAGTGCGTAAGGTACCAATTTCGATAACTTCAATCAGTAAAGATATTATTATATTTATTGTTTTTGTTTTTTCTTTGGTTTTAATTTTTATTTTTTTACTTATTTTTTTAATTATAACTATTTTTTTAAATGTTTATCTTTTAAATAACTTTTTTGTTGTATTCATTTGCTTTGATATTTCCTTATTAAAATTATTGATATTTCCTTATTAAAATAATAAAAATTGTTAAATTATTTAAATAAGTTAAAACTAAAGATTGCTGTTATATTATCTTGTTTTTACGCAAAAATAGTTATCATTTAAAAGACGGTAGGGTATTTCACTACCCCACACGAGTTTATTTTTGATTGCCACATCCCCACAAATTTTATCTATTTAATAAAACTTGTGTTTGTTGATTTGTTAAATACGAATTCTTAAAACATTATATATTTTACACATTTTTTATTTGTTAAACGCTGGAATAAAAATTTTTTTTAAATTAACAACGATCCATTTTAGCAAGTTTTTCTCTGATAGAAAATTATTTAAAAAAAAGAATTTATTAAAAAAAGTATTACAACTAGATTGAAATTGAAAAAAAAAAATTGAAATCATTGTAGATATCATACGACCTAAAAAATACTTCAATTTTTAAAATTTTGAAAATCGAAAATATTTTGGTTCTAGTTTTAGAATTTCAAAAATATAATTTTTTAAATATTCAAAGAGAAAAATAAATTTTGGAGGTTTTTAATGCTTTTCGGTAATCTTGGTATTATCATTTAAAAAAATCTTATTTTTGATGTAAAATATGTAAACGTTTGATTTTGATGTAAACGTTTTCGCTCATTTTTGATATGTTGATAATGCATAAAAATGTCACATAAAAAAGTGTAAAAATAAATAAATGGAAAATAGCAAAAAACTGTTAAGCAAGAAATTATAATTAAGTAAGAAAGTATAATTAAGTAGAAACCATAATTAATTTAATTTATGACATAATTTAATTTATGACATTTGGTATAGCAATCACAGCTTATATGATTTTTAAATTTGAACAGATTCAAATATTAAATGGAAAAATTACAAAAGGCACTTATTCAAAACTACTGTCTAGCTAAAAGTGACAAATTTAACATTAAACGAACCTTGTTTCCTGACGAGCAAATGGGCAAAGTTGTCAAACAAACTACAAGAAACAAACTCACAATCATTTATATAAGTTCCACCAACATCGTCATGTTCCTTCTACATCTAATAAATCAAAAATATCCACGCAATTTCAATCTCAGCAGTGTATGTGAAGGAAAAAGTGATTAAGGAAATAATGCTGATTAAATCTAATCCAGGAAAGTTTTCCTATGTGAGCCATTAGGCAACGTTTAACAAAAGTTATGAACATCCATATTTTTGGGCCCAACAATTTCAATCAAAATCTTTGTATGATCAAATTGGTCAATGAATGTGATGCAAAAACGTTGTTGAAGTTGCAAAATTATCAATTAATGACATTCAACATTGATCCCGACCGAAATTCGGTTTCGAATGACTGTATTGGTTAAATTATGGATGGGGCAAATGTTTGCATTAAAAGCGTCCGTCTCTCACAACAACTTTATTAAATTTGCTATGATTATGAAATCCAACTTTGTGTAAAACGAGTAGTAACATTAAATAAGACAATTACATACATCAATCGAGGAAATGAGGATTCGTTAAGTTTGACCAGAGCGAAAAAAAATTAGATGCAGAGACATATCAGCATGCACATCTCAGATTTTTTGCAGTGCACCGCATGTGCTTAGTTCAACAACAACAAAGAAAAATATGAAGACGAAATTAATGCTAACGAAGGTGAGAAAGCGCTTGAGTACGATCCTGCTTTGTCTAGTGTTAAAACTCTGGAAGATGTGCAAACTTTTGTCAAATATTTAAAGTATAATTTTAAGTTAGTCAGAGAACCTAAAGAAAGTGCGCAATCTCATGGAATCTATTTTCTGGTTCTCGATGTCAAAGTTCAATGGAACAATACATCGAAAATATTAACGACTTACAATGACATAATGCCAACTATTACAAGTACTCTTCAATCATTTAGACATGATTGGCCTAATTATTTAGAGACGAGCATTCCTTAATTAGTAGCAACTCTACATACATGTAAAATAGATATGAATGACATAAGTAACAATCACAATAACTTGAACATTTGCACAAGGTGCATTGGGATTTTGTTTGGAAGAAATTCAAATATTGGAAAGTTTTATTTTTAGACGTTTGCTCGAAGAATTGAAAAAGATATTCTTAAAAGGCGACCGATCTTAACTGTCAGTCTACTAAATTTTCTCAACAATCCAAAAGTTCTTGAAGAGCCGAATATGTCCCCATTTTCGCTCTCATCAAATTAATTTTTTTTTGAAAAAGCAAAAACCCTGATTCAATTATTTATTTCACTTCGTCTAATGATGATGTCAGTGATGATGTTATAGAAATTCCATCTGAAGCTTAGCAGATTGTCAAACAGACTCCAAACCGTAACTCAGAAATAACGTTTTTTTGCTTTTCTCCAACGTCGAAAGACTTTAAACTTTGTACTAAAGCTCCAAGAGACTTTTAAAAAAAGAAAAGAAAATCAAATTTTTCCCTCCTTATGATGGGTTAAAAATAGCTTTTTTTGCATCCCTTAAAGAAATAAAGCACGACTCTATAGAATAACAATTTAAACTATAGAGAAACAATTTAAGAATAAACGGAATAAAAGAAAGCGAGCATGAAACATGGGAAGAAAGTGAGTTAAAAGTGCTTAAATTATTTGAAGAGACGCTTGAAATCAAAGATGTGAAAATTGAGCGGATGCACAGAACCGGGCCAAGAGGTGAAAATAAAAATAGAACAATAATATAAAAACTCTTGAACTATAAAGATAAAACAGATATTATGAAGAGATCAGTGAAATTAAAAGGTATGAATATTTACATAAATGAGGACTTTTGTTTTGAAACTGTTTAGATAAGAAAAGACTTGAAGAATGAAATTTTAGGCAGCGAGAACTGGGAAAATATGCGTTTATCTCTTGCGACGATCTGGTCGTGCGCGAATGGTCTGAAAAGAAAATTGACGCAAAAGATTGCTAAGTATAAATTTTTTTTTATTTTTTTATTTTTAATATTTGACGAGAATTTTCTTTCATTGTATAAATTTATTTGCATAAAATGAATGTCTATTATAGATTCATTTCATGCTTAAACTCACAATGAAATTCTTTAAGCCCTATATCTTAAAATACAAAAATGAACTCAAAACTACTAAACAATTTTGAGTTGAATTCTTTTAATTTTTTTCAAACAAATAAATTTGTTATAAACAAAGATACTGATCCTGGTTCAATTTATTTTAGTGAAGCGGGTGCTTTGTTAAACAATTGCTCCTATTTTTATAACAATGAGCTAAAGGAATTTCTTGAACGAGATCACTTAAATGTAATACACTTTAACATAAAAAGCTTAAAAAAGAATTTTGAATCTTTTAGGAATAATATTGAGGAAGCTTTAAACATTTTTAATATTATATGCGTAACGGAAACTTGGTGTAGCTCCGATGAGGCAAAATCTAACTCAAAACTCCATCTTCCGGGTTTTTATCTTGTACCTTTAGCACGCAAGACTAAAAAACGATGGGGTGGAGTACTTTTTTATGTAAGCGAAGAAATCTGGTTTATAAATAGGCCTGACATGAGTATTTCTGATGCCGATAAAGAGGTTTTAACAATTGAAATCTTAGCCAAAAAAAAACAAAATATAATTATAAGTTGCTGTTATCGCCCACCAACTGGTGAAATAAATAGTTTTAATCCATTTTTAATTACCGATATAATTAAAAAAACTACAATAGAAAAGAAATTAAACTACATAATTGGTGACATAAATTTAAACGCATTCAATTATCATGTAAATTACAAAATAAATGGGTTTTATAACGATTTATTTGAAAAACGGCGCAATTTTGTTAATCAATAAACCAACAAGGGTAACTTCAAATTCTGCTTCCTTAATAGACAACATTATGACAACAGATACTTTTAATGAATCCATCAAAAAGGGTTTAATTAAAAGTGATGTTTCTGATCATTTTCCGATTTTTTTCTCGATAAATATTGACATTGAGTTAGTACCGATAACAAATCAAGTTTTCTTTAAACGATGTTTCAGTGAAGCAAATTTAATGTCGTTTAATGAACAACTATCATTACTACACTGGAAACATATAAATTTCTCATCTGAAGAAAATCTAGTTTATAACTCGTTCTTATAAACATTTTTTGAAGTTTATGACGCAAACTTTCCTCAATACGAAGTATGTCTTACAAAAAAAAGTATTAAGTCACCATGGATTACAAAAGAACTTAGAAAATCGTCCAAAGTTAAACAAAAACTATATATAAAATATTTAAAGTCCAAAACTGATAAAAATAAGGAGATTTATAAAACTTACGTGAAGCATTTTGAATGTCAAAGAAAAAACTTAAAAAAAAAATACTACTCAAACTTACTAGAGAAGTTTAAAAATAACTCAAAGCGCACGTGGCAAATTTTAAATGAAATTACTGGCAACTATAAGAGTAAAACAAGCAACTTACCAAAAGTTATTAAAAACAATGATGTTTTTTTAAATAATCCAAAAGATATAGCAAATCAGATAAATAACTATTTTATAACTGTTGGTCCAAACTTAGCTAAAAATACTCCAATTATAGTTAACTCAACAAATTATTTTACCCTTCCCATAATTTCCGTACTAAATAATTTTGAAATTTCCATGAAAGAATTTGAATGTGCTTACAAAATGCTAAAAACCGATAAAGCGATAAACCAATAAAGAACAAATAGTAACATTTTAATTGCATCTTATGAGAACATAAAAACTATTCTTTTCCAAGTGTTTAGTTGTTTAATTAAACAACTAAACACTTGGAAAGACCAACTAAAGATCGCCAGAGTTTCACCAATTTTTAAAGGAGGGGAACTATCAAATATAACTAATTATCGTCCAATTTCTGTACTCTCTGGTTTTTCAAAAGTTTTTGAAAGGATTCTTTACAATAAAATATATGATCATCTTTCTAAAAATAAAATATTAAATACCAGTCAATATGGATTTAAAAATAATAATTCCACTGAACACGCAATACTTTATTTAACTAGAAATATTGCAGATTCGTTTAAAAAATCACAATTTGCTCTTGGCGTTTTCATTGATCTATCAAAAGCTTTTGATACGATAGATCATGAGATTCTTATTCAAAAACTTAAAAACTATAGAATCAGCGGAAATTTTCTAAATTTGCTAAAAAGCTATTTAAGCAATCGTAAACAGTTTGTGCAAATTGATGTATCCTCCTCTACAAATTTGCTAGATATAACATGTGGCGTTCCACAGGGGTCTATACTGGGGCCACTCCTTTTTCTCGTCTATGTTAATGATCTGCATAATGCCTCAAATTTAACGACAGTGATGTTTGCCGATGACACTAACCTTTTTCTGTCCAGTAGTGATATTGTTACACTTTTTAATGACATAAACATAGAGTTAGTTAAAATTTCAAATTAGTTTAAGACAAATAAATTATCAATTAACTTAGAAAAAACTCAATGGACTCTATTTCATCCTAAATCTAAAAAAAAACTTTTACCAAATGATATGCCTCAAATATATATTGACAATGTTCAAATAAAGCAATCAAAAGTTATACATTTCCTTGGTGTTTTCATTGATATAAACTTAACATTGAAAAATCATATCGAAACATTATGCAGTAAAGTCTCAAAAAAGATTGGAGTGTTGTATAAAGCAAGAAATTTTGTAAATAGACATGCATTAATTCAACTTTATTACTCGCTAATCCAATGTCATGTAAACTATGCTAACATTGCGTGGGGTAGTGCTAATAATAGTCAATTAAAACCTCTTTATCGGCAACAGAAGCATCTAGCACGTCTAATAAATTTTAAAGATCGTTATACTCATGCAAAACCTCTTTTAATAGACATGAATATTCTTAATATATATCAACTAAATGTTTTTAATGCTCTTTGCTTTATGTACAAATGTAAGATAAACTTAACCCCAATATTTTTTCAAAATTTATATGCAATAAAGCCAAGAAACAAATATGAATTAAGAAATGACAATCTCATTCCTCAACATTATTCGCGCACAAATTTTGAAAGATATCTTATATCATATATAATATTATATATTATATATTATATAATAATATATATCTTATATCATATATAATATCATATATAATCTTATATCATATATAATATTAGCAACTATCGACCCATTTCTGTTCTTTCGGTATTTTCAAAAATTTTAGAAAGAATAATGTCTAATAGAATATACAAACATCTCAACAAAAATAACTTACTGTACAACAAACAATTTGGTTTTAAAAAAAATAACTCAACAGAGCATGCAATAATCCAGTTTGTGCATGAAATCTCAAAATCTTTTGAAAAATCACAGTATTTGTTAGGTATCTTCATTGACCTATCAAAAGCTTTCGACACGGTAGATCATCACATTCTGCTTCAAAAACTTGAATATTATGGAATTAATGGTATTGCCTTAAAATAAAAGGGTTTAGAAGCTATTTAACAAAAAGAAAACAATTTGTAATTAGTAACGACGGCTATCAAAATAATTGTCTTGATATCGTCTGCGGTGTTCCTCAGGGTTCAATCCTCGGGCTCCTACTTTTCTTGATATATATAAATGATCTGAATAAAGCTTCTAACCTTATAAGCATTATGTACGCAGATGATACCAATCTATTCCTCTCAAACAGTAATATATACGAACTCTTTACTACTATGAATAAAGAATTAAAACATATATCAAACTGGTTTAAATGTAATAAGCTAACTTTAAATATTAATAAAACCAAATGGACTCTATTACATTCGCATGCAAAAAAGCGATTTTTACCAATAAATTTGCCGAAACTTTTTATTGACGAAATTGAAATAAAAAATGATTCCGTTACAAAATTCTTAGGTGTTTATCTCGATGAAAACATCTCCTGGAATCAACATATTAATTATATATCTACCAAAATTTCAAAAAACATTGGGATTCTATATAAAGCTCGTAACTACCTAAATAAAAATTGCTTAAAACAACTTTATTACTCTTTTATCCACAGTTACATAAATTATGCCAACACTGCTTGGGGGAGTACTGTAAAAAGTAAGTTAAAACTTCTTTATCGTCGTCAAAAGCATGCGATCCGCATAATTAACTATGCCGATCGTTTTACACACACAAAACCTCTTTTTACTGAAATGAGATTGTTAAATTTATTTGAACTCAATGTATTTAAAGTTTTATGTTTTGTATCCATGGAGAAATAATCAATCCTCTACCGTTTTTAATAATACTTTCAAACTCAAACCTAACAACAAATACGACATGAGAAACATAAACTTTTTAAAAGAACCATTTTGTCACACAAAATTTAATCAATTTTGCATTGCTTATCGTGGACCCCACCTATGGAATAATATAGTTTTGCAGAATTTTGATTTACCAACTTCCTTTTACCTTTTCAAGCTCAATCTAAAAAAATGTATTATTTCACTTGATAATATACACAGATACTTCTAATATTTTGAAAATTGTTATACAACTTGAATTCAGTACTTTATTTTAATTTTTACTTTATTTTTTAGGTTTGTGCTTTATAAGGTTCTGATGACAAGATCTTGTGATCTTCTTTCAGATCCTAGCTTATGTTTCATTGTAAGCAGTTTATGTATGTGCGCATCTACGCATTTGTATGTGTATATATGCTTATATTTATATATGTATGTCCGTGTTTTTTCTTATTTTAATTTAGTTGATAAATGTTGTAACACGAATTTAATTGTAACACGATATATATGGCATATATAATTGTACTTTGACATTTTAATGTAAGCAAAATTAAAAAAAAAAAAAAAAAAAAAAAAAAAAATATCGCGGAGCTTTTCTGTGGAACCAAATAGTGTTAAAAAACTTTGATTTTTCTAAAAATTGTAGTTTTCTTACTTTCAAAAATAAACTGAAAAAAGTTATTTTGACAATTGATAACATCTTCGAGTTTTTTTGAATATTTTATTTAAATATTTAGTTTTATTACATATTTTGACATTTTTTAACAGTATTTTATGTTTGGTTTTGGCTTATTAAAAATCTTGTATTGTAAATATCGGTATTTTGTTTTTATTTATTTTGTATCGCATTGTTAAACGGTTCTCGGTGACAGGATCTTGCCATCCTCTTCGAGTTTCCGTGTTCTTTTTATTCTACGTCATCTTCTGAATTTTGAAATATTTTTGCCGCAAAAATGGACAATTTTCAAGTTTTTACCCCTTAAAAATGAGCCCTCAGAGCGACCCTTTAATTTTTTATTTTAATTTTTTTATTTTTATCTTAGTTTCATTTAGAATTTACTTAATATATAGAAAAAATTACTTAACTATCAAAAATAAAGGGTTTTTTTATTCTACGGGGTTGTGCCCCCATGTAAACATAAATAAAAACATATGGAGTTGTGCCCCATGTAAACAAATAAAAATGAAAATATTAAATATACATATCTATTTTTCAATTTTTTTCTTGTTATGTATATAAAATGTATATATGTATATACATAAAAAGAGAGATATTGAAAGATAGATATGTATATTTAATATATATTTTTTTATTTATGCTTACATTTGATAATTAAACGTATAATAATAATATAGTTATAGTAGTATTGTAATATAAAGTAATATCGAAACAAGATCCAAATAGTTATATAAAGATGCGGATTATTAAGCTGAAATTAATTTTTTATGTGATCTTTCTGATTTGTAAAAATGACAATCTTTTTGTGCAATTGCTAACTTAGTTTAAAAAAGTAACTCTATATAATCTTCGCTAAATTCGAGTAAGATAAAAATACCATAAGTTCGTAATAAAACTAGAAAGAAATTAAGTAAGGTATTATTCTGGTGCTTCAAAAATGCCTCCAAACTGAACTTTCACACATAAGAGCTTAGTTCTTTCCATACCAGCTTCTGTACACAAAGCTGATTTAGTACTATATCTTCTTCTTCTTTGAAGAAAACTGTTGATTTATGAAGATTAAAAGTTTTCTCTAAGTTGAGCAAATCAACTTTTTTCAAATCTTGATATATGATTTTTAATGGAATTCTATAAAAATATCGACTAATAAAACAAAACAATCGCTAATATGAGTTCTTTTTTTTTTTTGGAGTGACATGTCACCTTGCAAAAAAAACAATTCATAGGATAAAAAAATAAGTGTATAAAATAAGCGCGTTGGGGCGCAAGAGGGGCGTATTCAACATTCTTTAATATATCCAAAATCAAGATTTTTTTTTAAAGAAAACGTTTATTTTTTATTGAAATTTTTTTTTTCATTTTAAAAATAAATATTACCAGGTCTTCATTAAATATGATTGCATTACCTTGGATTGGGTTGACAGAAGTTTATTTTTTTTTTTTTTTTTTTTTGTATGTATTTAGGTGCTCCCAGAAGTCCTTACGGTCTTATCATAGAGCACCGCGGGAGAGCATTTAACAGGAAGTTCACGCCTCCTTCCGTACCAATGTCACTTGTTGGGCTAGAGCTGGCGTCGAACCTCGGACCTCTGGGTTCTGAGCCAGAACTCTAACCACTGCGCCACGGCTTCAGGTGGCAACAGTTACCCCCTTCCACCCAATATTATTGTCAAATTTTATATCTAAATGCATACCATTTAGCATCAAAAGAAAGAAATGTTAAAAAGTAAAAAGGGATATGTTTCTTTTCAAAGAAATGTTATAGGGATTACAAAAGCATGTTTAGAGCATAATGGTAAAATTTTTAAACCCACCTTGCGTAGACAGGGGGGGAGTGGCAAATATTATTTTTCTATTAAAAAGTTAAACGTATAACAAGTCACAATTTTTATATATAAAAACAAACTATAAATATATAAATACTTAATACACTGAATATATAATACTTAATGTATCTACATGCACATAATAATAAGTGTAAGTATAGGTTAACAGATAGGTGGTAAACAAACGTTTCTTTTTTTTTTTCTTTTTTTCTTTTTTTTTTGTCATTCTTCTGCCATCGTTTCAGCCACTAGAAAGCTGAATTTTAAGTTTTGGCAAGTCTTTGCCTCCATTCTGGGCATTCTATACAAAAGATCCATTTTGATTTAGGCACAAATTTAAAATTAAATTTAAAAATAAATAAAGTAACTAATAAAATAACACAACTTTCTTGTTCTGCAGTGGCTAAATTAAAAAAGAGTTTTAGCTCTATTAACAAATTATCATTCTAATTAATTCAAAAAAATAATGAAAATTCTACTAAGTATTTCTTTTTTTCTTTTCTTTTTTAGATGTCGAGCAAGCGCTATTAATACGACTACTTTCTTGTAATGTAGTGTAAAATCTCATAGTTAGATGATTGTTTTTGTTAGTCCATTTGGTAATTTAATTTCTGATATAATGATTAGTTCACGAATCATCAACAGTACTGCGATTGGGAATATCAGTAACATTGGCACCAATATATTGTTCTATTTTCTATATTAGCAATGAAATATTTCCTGTTAAGACATTTCATAACAACATGTTATAATTTATTATTTTCATATGCAATTTAATTTTCTGAAAATTTCGAGTTTGTTATCACATCCTCCTCTATTAGAAGCATAATTTTTCAAGCAAAAAATTACTGTTGTTTGCCTTAATATTAGCATTATACTTAATTTTTATTTTCCTAAGTATTTGCTTTTCATTTATTTTTAATACCTTTTTTGGAGCTTTCAAATTACGAATACGCTCAGTATATTATTTTATTTTAATTTTTTTTTTTTAGGTCTCTACTTTTTGTCCTTAAAGCTTTGATAATTTCTTCTTTTTGTTTAACAATTTTTAAACAAATGCTGTCTTGCTCTGGTGTTTTCTGGAAACTAAATGAGAAGACAAATAAGATTAAATAAATTTTAGATTTTTTTAAAAGTCAATTTTTCTATAGAAAAATGCTTAATAAATTGCCTTTGTGCCATAAACTACAGATACCGAAGGTTCAATAGTTAATGAAATTAAAGCACTCATATGGTCAGAAGATGAGACTTCTGAAGAATATGCAAAAGTGAAATTTGAACTACTTTGAACAGTTTGCAATAAATGTGCACTTAAAGACAAGGAAATATTTGAAGTCTGCAAACTTTAAAATGTAAAACCTTAAAAGGTATGTCTAAGCTATTGATCTTTTTACAAGATGCATTACCTAAGTTATGTACAAATATGCTAAATATGAGATTATATTGCTCTGCAACATTTTGAGTAGTTTTTTGAAATAACTCACCATTGTTTGTGAATATAAAAAGTATATCCCCATTCCTACAACTTGTAATGCTGTCCCCTGTTTAATCAATGTTTATTTTGTGAAGGTGGTAGAAGTTAAATATTGTTTAACTTTACCATAAAAAAAACTTTTATTTTTGGGTCACAAAACACTACAAAAAAACGACTTGGAATTAAAATTGAATAAAAAAATTTACACCAGTATAAATTTAGTTATAAATATTAGTCTATCAATTACTTTTTTAAGAAAACGAATAAGTATTTTTTATAACATATACCAAATACAGATATACAAAATATAGATATATAAACAAGAAAAAACTAATTGTTTCCACGTATCAGTATAAGTATTACTTTAAGTTCAAGCAGTTCAGTTAAGTTCAAGTCTGGAAAAAGACAAATAATGAACTGCACAATATCTCTAGACAACCATCAAATTATACTTCGAGAGAAACTTAATTATCTCGGCTTTACTTGGGACACAAAAAATTATATTTTTGCTTCACTAAATAGAATGAATATTGATAGTAGGGTATCAATCTTCCGGGCAAAAGTGCAAACTCTGATTCAATCTGGAATCTGGTTTGCACATCCAAGATCTATTATCCAATTATATAAATCATTAGCAGTTCCGACGTTAACCCACGGTCTAGAGCTCTGTGAAAATAAAGATTCAACAATGAAAAGACTCGACACATTTGGAAGGAACGCAGTTAAATCATTTTTTAATTTCTCCAAGTATAATAAAAACTATATACACTCTCTATTTAAAATTAAGGAGATGTCAACTTATATACACCAAAACAAGATAAGTCTATTTATCCGCCTTTTAAACTATAAAGTAACCTTTGAAATCCTTAACTCCCAACTTAACTACTGTTCAGCTAACTTTTCTTTTTTAAATGATATAAAAGAATTATGTGATAATCATAAACTGAATAAGAAAACCTTAATGCTGGTTAAAAAAAAGTAAAACTTAAAGTCTTAGAGGATGTAATTCCTGAAGTTGCACTTCATATTTTAATACACGCGGTTCAATATTGGAATGTAAAAGAACGGCGAACAATTTTTAAAAAGACACTTGAAGAAAACATTTCTAAATAATACTTTTTTTTTATCTCTTTTTCTTAGTTTGTGTTTTTACCTTGTAAATATATTTTACAGGGGGTGATTAATAAAATATTAATAATAAAAGTTACTTGTCCATAATTCAGACACTAAGTTATAAAAAAGTATATTAATCATCAATCTAAGTTATCAATCATTAATTTAAGTTATTAGATTATGGATAACCTTAACTAATACTTAACTTTTACTTTATTTTAAATAAAATTTCTGATGTTTTCAATTATTAAAGATTTATTTACTATAAAATAATTAATAATAAAAAATATAAAACAGAATTTATCTACTACTAGATGACAATAATTTTTTATCGATATAGGTCCAACACTTTCTAAAAAAATTCCAAAGACCAAATCTTTATTTTCTGATTTTCTAGTACCCATTGATAATTGCATTGGTTCAGTTGAGTTGTCTTTTGAATTATTGTTTGAAGAGTTTAAAAGAGCCTTCAAATCTTTAAAAAAAATAAAGCAATTGGAGCAGATCAAATAAATGGAAACGTTATTATAGATTGTTTTAAACAGCTAAAAGTTGTTATTTTTAAAGTTTTTAAAGCTTCTATCCATCAAGGTGTTTTCCCCAAACTGTTAAAAATTGCCAAAATTATTTCTATTTTTAAAGAAGGGGACAAATCAATTATTAGTAACTATCGCCCTATTTCTGTTCTTTCCACATTCACATCAGACCACCAAATTCTAATCTATAAACTTAAACACCATGGAATTAAAAATAAAGTTTTAAAATGGTTTGAAAGCTATTTGTCAAATCGTAAACAATTTGTTCCGAGTAATGACGATTATCATACCAATTGTCTTTCTATAACATGTGGAGTCCCACAAGGCTCAATTCTTGGTCCACTCCTTTTCCTAATTTATATTAATGATTTAAATAAAACCTCTAAACTAACAAGTATTATGTTTGCAGATGATACTAACTTATTTCTTTCTAACAGTGATATCTTTGAGAGCTTATACATGTATCGAGTTGGTTTAAATGTAATAAGTTTACTCTAAATTCTAATAAAACAAAGTGGACCTTATTCCATTCGCTTTCCAAAAAACGGTATTTGCCATTAAACTTACCTAAAATTTTTATTGATCAAAATGAAATAAAAAGGGATTCCGTAACAAAATTTTTAGGTGTTTATCTTGATGAAAACATCACTTGGAATCATCATATCGACTACATAAGCACTAATATTTCAAAAAATATAGGAGTTTTATATAAAGCACGAATCTACCTCAATAAGAAAATTTTAATCAAACTTTACTATTCATTTATACACAGTTATTTAAATTATGCTAATATCGCCTGGGGTAGTACAGAAAAAAGTGAGTTCCAACGTTTTTATCGCCGTCAGATACATGCTATCTGTTTAAACTGCTTTGCAAATCGCTTTTCTCGCGCAAAACATTATTTTATTGAAATGAGAATTTTAAATATATACGAGCTAAATATATATAATGTTTTATGCTTTGTATACATGTGGAAAAACGACTTGTCTCAGTCTGTCTTCAAAGATATTTTTACTCCGAAACCCATCAACAAATACAATTTGAGAAATAATGATTTTTTAAATGAACCTTTCTTTCAAACGATCTTTAATCAATTTTGTATTGCCTATCGTGCACCACACCTTTGGAATAAAATTGTTTTGCCCAATTTTGACTTCGAACTACCCATTACTTTTCGTTTTTTTAAAAGTAAATTAAAAACCCTAATTTTTTTATTAGAAGACGTATTATGTTATTATTAATAATATAAATTAATAACTTTGCCTTTTCTTATTTATATTTGTAAAAAGTTTATTCTTACTTATTTTGTTGATTTTATATTCTTTACTTAACGCATACGTTTATATAAAATATTGGTGAGTAGATCTCTCTCCGCGTGATCTCTCTTTGGATTATATAATATATATTTGGATTATATATATATGAAATTTGTAAAAATTTGATACTGTTAATGCTTGTTTGAACTTATTTAAGGTTCTGACGACAAGATCCTTTGATCTTCTTTCATATACCTTATTTTATATTTGTGAAAGTTTAATATTATTATCATTATTTTTTTCTTTGGCAATATATAGTTGTAATACGACCAACAAATGGAAAATTAAAAAAAAAATAATAATTTAATTGGAGAATAATTTTTAATTTTGTCTTGAGATATATGTATGTTTGTGTACAGACGAGGAGACTACTTAATTGTAGTTCTCTCTCAACTCCCTCTTTATATATATATATATATATATATATATATATATATATATATATATATATATATATATATATATATATATATATATATATATATATATATATATATATATATATATATATATATATATATATATATATAAAGAGGGAGTATATATGTATATATATATATATATTTATATATATATATATATATATATATATATATATATATATATATATATATATATATATATATATATATATATAGCAGCCGTGGTACAATGGTAGCGCATATGATAGTGGTAGCATATATGAGCGCCGTGGTGCAGTGGTAGCGCACTTGTCTCAGAAACAAAGAATCCATGGTTTAAACCCCACCTCTTGACAAGTTTAGCGTCATCGGTTGGGGAGGAGACGTGAACTTCCTATTAAATGCTTATCCACGGTGCTCTGTGATAAGACCATAAGAACTTCTTAGAGCACCTAAAATAAAAGTAAAATATATATATATATATATATATATATATATATATATATATATATATATATATATATATATTTATATATCTGTGATATATATATATATATATATATATATATATATATATATATATATATATATATATATATATATATATATATATATATATATACATATATATATATATATATATATATATATATATATATATGTATATATATATATATATATATATATATATATATATATATATATCTTATACTGCTGAGTTAGGTTAGCATGATGATGTCATACTCACCTAATGTCAAATAGCCTGCTGCTTGGGGCTTCAGTACATACATCTACTGACAAATAGCCTGACTCGCAGTGGAGTGCTGCTACATCGACTGAGGGTTTGGTATGGGTCAGCAACCTTTTCATTCATTATTCTTCGTTTTCCCTCATTGTTTTCTAAAAACGCTCACTTAATTTAGGCTAGCAAAAAAAGTGAGCAATTGCGCATATAAATATGCTATAGTAGATAATTATATATATATATATATATATATATATATATATATATATATATATGTAACAATGGCCACTTGACTGCTTGGCCTAATAGAGCTTTGTAATACTAGGAGATTTCTTTCGTTGAGAATGGATTCCAAACGAGTAATTTTGGCTTAAATTTGTTTTTTTTTTTCAACCTTTCATCATTTGATGCTCCATTTGAGTTAGAAAAGTAAAATCAAGCGTTTCCAGAAATATTGGTATTTCTTAAATAAAAGTATGATTCATTGTAAATAACAATTATTTTTTTCCAAAAAATCGAAACAAATCTACAGCGTTTCGATCGCGCAGCAGCTTTTTACGCCGGTATTCTTTTAGGTTTTTAACTTTTTCATGATAATGAATATTTTTACTTATAATTTTGCATATGTACGGTTGTAATACATTGAGTTTTTTTGCAAGACCACGCTGTGAAATACATCCTTTGGATCAATTTTTTAAGATGGTTTATCTGATTATTAGGCATCTTTTAGCTTTGCAACCACTTCTAACTTTTCTTTTTGGTCCTATATTGTTCTCTTTTCATTTTATTATATTATACATAGTAAATTTTGGTATAATTTTCATTCAAGAATGATTGACAATAAAGCTTTTATTCTCATCTGCATGCAAATCCAAAATTGCGCGCACTCGAATTTTTTTATCGTAAGCCTTTTTTTTTCATTTTTAAATACAACTAAATAAAAAAATTGTTATTAATAAATATAAAGAGTTAAATTTGTAACCAAATAGGTGAATGCAAGTTTTTAAAATTACTTCTTTCATATTCTTATAGTTAATAAAAATTAGTCCAGATTTCTAGTTATAACATGTTGTATCTTTGACGCTTATCTCAATAAATTCAAGTAGGACGTGGAGTTCTTTCAAAGCGTTTTCATAAAAATATATATTCGACTTTAAACGTTGTAGTCAAGGACAGTAAAACAAAAACACGATATATGGAACTACATTTAAGTGGGAGAGAGAACCAACCGCAAGTACAGAAATCTATTTATTTTTGAATCTTTTTGAGTAACTATTAATTGTTGTCTATTTAATATGCAATCACAGTTTCTTAGTAGAATGAAGCAACAAAATATGAAATCTTTCTTGTCTCCATAAAAACGATTTCTAAGATGCGACCCGATGCAACAAACATAAGCTGTTCAAAATCAAACAAAAAACAACAAGAAACAACAACAACAGTTTTTAATTTAACAAAGGTATTTTAATTTGAAATAATAACTAACAGGAGAATTGATAAAAAATTTATCTTAAAAATTTCAAATAGTTTTAAAAAAAAAATGAAAAAATCCATTCAAATTTGATGTACATAGGTTTTAGTGTTTTTAACATGTGTTTGAAAAGTAAAAAATAAAAATAATTATATTTTTTTTGTCGTCAAATATAAATAGTAACATAATATTATTTAAAAATTATAAATGAAACATTTATAATCACCGAAAATAACAAAAAATTACTCGCTTAATTTTTAAAATATCCAGAACTTCCAAATCCATTAACTGTGCGAGCTGCACAAGTATTAAATTGCTCCAGCGATTCCATGCAATTGTATAATTGACTTCCATTGTCTCGAATGCAACTGTCGTACTTGCGAAATTCATTCTTGCAGTTTTTGTTTATCAACTGAATCATAGGGCTATTTTATAATAATAATAAAAAAACAAGTTTTAAAATTTTTATAAAGACTTAAGATTAAAATTTTTATAAAGAGTATAAGAATCAATATAAAACCGTGTTTTTATTTTCAAACAACTTATAAAATTTTTTTCGGGGTGATTTTTATATACGAGGAACCAGTTGTTTGAACAAGTTTCGCAAATGATTTTATTTGGCGGTGTTGCTTCAACAAGTTTCACTAATGATTTTACTTGAAAATAAAATCTTGAATGATTATGTTTTCAGCAGACTTGGAAAAAGTAACAAAATTTTGAAATCAATTAAAAGTATTGTTACTTGACTGAATTTTATTCGAGTACAATTAAACGTTACCGGTCGAAAAGTTTACTTAAGTGAGAACAAAAAGTAGTTAATAAAAATTATACTCTGATTAAAAGTTACCACATTACTATTTCAACAGCCATTTTCAGGTAACAGACAACTTTACACAACCTTGTATGAAATGTAAACATAGAAAAATTTTGTTTTAAATTTTGTTTTAAAATTCTAAAAGACAGATTAAAATTCGAAACGTAAGCGAGGCACGTTTTTAATGTTTTTGTTACTTCACTTAAAACATTGATAAAAACTATAAGAAAACAATTTTATAAAACAGGCTAATTTTTATCAAATAAAAAAAATATATCATACTTTTTATGAAATTAAATACTGATAAATTTTTTTTACTCAGCAACGTATATGATTCAAAATGTAGTGAAATATTAAAAAAAAAAAAAAAAACTCAAGTGAAAGTTAAAATTAAACATACTTCAAAAGCTAAAACTCACAAAAAAACTACTCAATTACAGTAAGGCGAGTAAATGTAATTTGTTACCTTTCACCTTCCACCTCTAGTTTTCAGCAGTTATTGCGTTTATAAACCATTTAAAAGCATAGTTCAGAACCCCACATAACTTGATCTCGTTAATTCAATTAATTACTACTAGTTTTTAGGAATTTTTTTTGCAAAACAACAAAACATTAGATAATTGATTTAGAAATGACCGAATTTATTGAGTACAAATGTTGTATATATATGCACTTATGTATCTTATATATCTTTGTGTCTCATAAAAAGTTTTGTGTCACATACAAGCTTTGTGTCACATACAAAGTATTGTATTACATACAAGTTTTGTGTCACATACAAGCTTTGTGCCACATACAAGCTTTGTGTCACATACAAGCCTTTATTTATGGGCCATATTTCAAAACGAAAATTTTAATAATATACAGTGAAAAAATATACCTACATAAATTATTTGTGTGTTTTTTTACTTGTCACTAAATATATAATATATATATATATATATATATATATATATATATATATATATATATATATATATATATATATATATATATATATATATATATATATATATATATATATATATATATATATATATATATATTGTAAACAAAATAAACATAAATTATATAAAATAAACATAACAATTAAGATTTACTTTTCAGAAGAGCATTTGGTTAAGTTTTCCTTTTCTGTCAAACAAACAGTCTGCCATGTATCCTCATTAAGCTCAACACATTTTGTGAATACTTGAATTTGTTTACGACATTGTTTTTCAATTAGTGCAATATTCTGATCCCTAAATAAATCATTTATGAAAAAAGAATGTTCAGCAAAAAAAAATTGAAAGAAAAAAATCCACATAAATCAAAACAAAATTACTCACATATGTTAATAAAGTCTTTGTGTGTTTTTAGTGGCACCCTCGATAGTAATGATTTCTCATGAAAAGTAATAAATTGCTCAAATACTTATTAAGACTATACATAAAACTTATGTCACAAGGTTAATTTTTAATATATATATATATAAATATATATATATATATATATATATATATATATATATATATATATATATATATATATATATATATATATATATATAGTATATATATATATGTATATATATATATATATATATATATATATATATATATATATATATATATATATATATATATATGTATGTATATATGTATATGCATATATGTTTGTATATACACTTAGGGTGTGTCACAAATCTTCTTGAAGCACATGACATACTTACACAAAGCATGCACCTAGGGTTTCCTGCAGATGTAATTTATACAGACTTTGCCAAAGCATTTGACAAAGTTCCACACAGACGCCTGTTACACAAACTGTAAACCTATGGGATTAGTGAAACCCTGAGTGAAACATCTGAGTGGGTCCCCATGACTAGCGGTGTGCCATAGGGCTCAGTCCTTGGCCCACTACTATTCGTCTTATTTTGCAGTACAGGTTTAGTCTCCTCACCTAAAAAAAGATATTGTGATGATGGAGAAAGTGCAAAGACGTGTTACAAAAACAATATCTTAGATAAAACATTTATCACACGAGGAAAGATTACAAAAGCTGAAACTAACATCGCTTGAGGATCGCAGGAAACGAGGTGACCTAATCCAGCAGTTTAAATTTACTCAACAGATTGAAAAAGTTAACTTAACAAACTCTAATAAATTCAAAAACAAATTACAATCTCCATGGACACAAACAGCAATTAATGCCTCAACTAGTCGAAGGTTGCATTGAACGAGAAAACTTTTTTTACAAATAGAATAACAAAGCAATGGAACGCTCTTTCACAGCAAGCAGTTGATTCACTATCTGTACATTTCTTTAAAGAATTTTTATTGTAAAATTCTTGACCAGCTGCTTTTTGCAGCTTAACTGGGTCAACACAGGAGAGACTGATGAAGCTCTTCTTCATTAGTATAAATTACATTTATACTACAAGATGTACATAAAAGTGTTTTTTGTATTCTTCAATAAACATGATAGGACATGGACTATTTTAATGCACACTTGCATTTATATGGAATTATTTCTACTAATTTTGAAATTAATAAATAAATAAAAAATATACATATATATATATATATATATATATATATATATATATATATATATATATATATATATATATATATATATATATATATATATATATATATATATATATATATATATATATATATATCTGTGTGTGTGTGTGTGTGTGTGTATATATGTTGTGTGTGATAGTTACCCCAACTTTGTTGTATGATGCTGTTCATAATTTTGGTATTGTATTAAGACGTAAAAATGACATATACAAAGTTTTTTTTGACAATTGAATGGGCACCAATAAAATTGAAAATATGAAATTCAACTAAAAATTTATTATTTTTCTTTATGTTACATTCTAGTACCATGGTGCGGCTCAGAAAGACAGAAATTACGATAACGAAAAGTAGAAACTACAATTTTTTTTCTACACTAAATGTCTTTCACTGATTTTGAATCTGTTGTCTTTGAGATTCTACAACTTGGAGAATATCTTGATAGTGCTTCTCATTCCTAGTTACACCTAGAAAATCATGGCAAACTTTCACACCACGCTCTGCTGCTTCACTTAAAGTTTGTCGACAACCAATTTTATATTTTGATAGTTTTCCCCATTAGTCTAATCATATGCTGGAACATGTTAAAAAATCTGAATGAATCCAACCCAATTAGGCAACTAAAGAAGTACCATATTTAATTGTATAATCAAGATAGGGCTTGCCATATCTTCCTAAATTGAGTCCAACTCTCTTTGTGATAGAAGTGAAGTGTTTTCAAAAATAAAATGGGTTCCCTCTTTTTTCCTGATTTCTACTGTTTTTATAGATAAGAATAGAGCTAATAGTATTGACTCCTCAGATAATTCCCAAGTGTAAAATACATACATTTTCAACTTAAGTTGAGTCATGCTCAGCAAAATCTGCTAAGTTTCCCACTAAAATCAAGTCATTCACTGAGGAAGACAGTAAAGGACAAACAAGCCGCCACTGCACATAAACTAAAACTGTAAACACAACAAATTATTTCAATTTTTTATTTGGTTGCTCATAACAATTTTAGCTTTTGAATATTCTTTGATCTGTTCAGACAAAAGCGCTATGTTTAGAGTATAAAGCAGTTAAAACATTTGCCTTGCTTTGTGAAGGGCACCAAGAATGAGTATATTTAGGATCTTTGGTCCAGATCCTTAGTTATTATTACCAAAGTTCACAGTTTTAGTTTTGCACAAAAACTAAAACTGTGAACACAACAAATTGTTTCACTTTTCTTATTTGGTTGCTCATAACAATTTCAGTTACAACAAGCAAAGTGGGAAAGGCACAATCTAATTTCCTCTTTAGAGACACTTGCAGTTGTACTCTTTTCTGAAAATATATTTCATTGCAGTGTAAGTTGTATGTAAAACCATACCAATTTTTTAAGAAATTTTTTTGGTGCCTTTGCTATGATTTGGGGGAATGCCAAGTAGCTTTGTCCCATCAGCTCCAGATATTAGAAATCAATAGTAATGATGAATGGAAAAATATGGTAATCTTTGATTACTCTACCAATATTGTTTTTGCTTACTGGAGTTGGTATATTCGTTTTCTGATAGTGTAAGAGCACATTGTCTATAGCTTCAGATAAAGCTTGATCCCAGTGTAAATCTTTCAGGTTTGATAAAATAAATAACAAAACCTTTTTCTGTGTTGGTAATGTAGAAACCTTTATTTTCCTACCATCATCTCCAAGTAATAATTTAATATATTTGTTAGGTACTTTTTTATCCATTAAATACTACAAAATACAACAACAATATTAATCTATAATTTTATATTTCTTCAAAAAAATCAATATATATATTTTTAAAAGAAGTTGTTCCAATTCAAAGTCATTTATAAATAGTAATAAACTAATCTGAAATAAACACCTGATACTAATGACTAATAATAATAAATAAAAATGATAACAATAATAGTGACAATATTATTACTTATTATATTAAACAATATTGAAGATATTTTTTTTCTTTCTTTAATTCTTTAAAGTATTTTTACTAACAATGAAAAAATTTTCACAAAAATTCCACATAATTCATACAATATTATTTAATATAATTTTATGAATAAAAATCAAATTTAAAAAAAAGAACATTTATAATAGTAATATTATGGCTAGACCCACAATTCCAACATATAAGATAAAAATGATAAAACTTTACAAGGTTGAAGCACCACAAAAATTGCACAATTTTTATGAGATTTCACAGGGATGCTTTTTAGAACAATAGGCAACACTAAAATTATGAACAGCCTACTATAATAAAAATTTATTGCTTTGGGGGCAGAGCTGTCACACCCTAATATATATATATATATATATATATATATATATATATATATATATATATATATATATATATATATATATATATATATATATATATATATATACACATATATATATATACACATATATATATATATATATATATATATATATATATATATATATATATATATATATATATATGTATATATATATATATATATATATATATATATATATATATATATATATATATATATATGTATATATATATATATATATATATATATATATATATATATATATATATATATATATATATGTATATATATAAACACAAGATAGTAAGTATTTTTACTCGGAAGAAATATTCAAAAAAAATTGTAATTTCTTGTATTATTTATGTCATTTTTGTTTCTAAAACCTGTATAACTTAAAAATCAATAAATAAATATTAGTGCTATAAAATTATTTTGTTATCACATTATTAATTTACATTTTTAAAGTCATAAATAAAAACAATAAATTACATTACATGGAACATTGAAATATTTAAAAACATTAAAAGATTAATCATATATAGGCAAGTTCAACAAATCCATTTGCTTTGATTTCAAAATGCTTTTTTTCACAGATGCTTTGTTTTTTGAATGCTTTACATGACTAAGACGTGATTCAAGAATACCTTCTTTAAATTTAGATCTTTCATGCCTTTTTATAACATTTGTAATTGAATTACTCTGACAACTAAAGTTTACTGCAAATTCATATTCTTTTTTAGATTTTTGTGCCAACTTTGCAAAATCATAATGTTTTTTTATATAATTCTGTAATATAAGGTCATTTTTCTTTCGTTTCAATTCAAGTTCATTGTAAACTTGATATCTATCCTCATTACTTTTATTAGCTAATTTGTTGCTATTTTTCATTTTTTGCAAAGTTAATTTTTGTACAGTATAATTATTTTGATCATGAATAACCTGTACACAATCTTTACAACTTGATAGTAGAAAAGCGTATCCATAAAACTGTTTTTGCAATAAAACACTTTGATCTTGGTTTATTTTCCATTTATATTTCTTTTTCTGCCTACAGGTTTGATTTTTCTGTCCGCAGGATTGATTTTGTGCAAATCTAGACATTTCATCATAATATACATTGGTTATCGATCTTTTATGAACATTTTTAACACCGTGGTTTTTATCATTCACATCAATTTGTTTTATTAATTTGATTAAATTTTTTTTATTTTCATTTTTTTGAATATAATTACTATATTTTAATACATTATCTAAAACTAAAGAAGAAGCTTCCAAGTTCTTAAATTCAATGTTTAACTTTTTTAACATTTTGAAATTGTTACAGACTAAATTCTCACAAGGTTTAATGAAGGAATCTTGCAACTCATTTTTTGTTATTGTTGCAACACTAAAAATTAAAAATTAGTTATTATAAAAATCATCATCGTTATCATCAATGTAAGTATTGATAAAGTTTCAAAGTAAAAAGCATTATAAAAAATTTTAGCATAGATAGAATTTAAAGAAGTTGGTAATAAAAATGTCAAACTAGTTTTAGTAGTTCAAGAAGTATGCCAAAATTTTTATGCAAATAAAAAACCTTTTTCATTATATTATATAATGAAAAAGGTTTTTATTAGCATAAAAATTTCAGCATACTTCTTGAATAATATATAAGCCTTATATAATATATATATATATATATATATATATATATATATATATATATATATATATATATATATATATATATATATATATATATATATATATATATATATAGATATATATATATATATATATATATATATATATATATATATATATATATATATATATATATATATATATATATATATATATATATATATATATATATATATATATATATATATATATATATATATATATAAACCTTATATAATATATAAGGTTTAAAAATTTCTTAAGTAATAATTAAATTAAGAAAATTTTAAAATAAACAGGAAGAAAAATCTAAAAAGATTTCATAGGTCATATTTGATATTGACAATAATTATTCAAATAATTCCTATTTGCTTTAAAGGAAATCAAATTAGAGACCAATTAGAAAAAACAGCATACCTATCTAAATAAATTCATTCTAACACCTAATGTAAATGAATTTGTATAACTGACAGCAATACAGGTATTCCAATCATAACGTTATACTCTGTTTTTAATTTATTCGTTAAACTTTGCAATGTTAGCACTTTAGCGTTATATACTGTGCTCAGTGGGCCGATGGTGATGTACTTTACATTTAAAGCTAATCAGGGCAATCACACTTTTATACTTGTAGATAAAAGCTATTTTAAGTATAAGAGCTCATCTTTTTTTAATTGTTTTAACGGTAATAAATACTTTGTAAATAATTAAATTAAACCCAAACAAAAATTTGTAGACAAGTCAGTGGCGTCACTAGGAGGTACGGGCAGCACCTGGTGACACTACCATGACCTGACACAGAGGTGTCAACAAAATGAAAATAAAAATGCAAATATGATAGAATTTCACATACTCTTGATAATTTATTTTTGCCAGTACTTTTCAGGTTTCAATTTTTCGATATTCTTTATTAATAACTCTGTTAATAACAGAGTTATTAATAAAACTCTGTTAATAACAGTGTTATTAATGAAACAAATAAAAAAAAGATCTTTTAAATAATTTTATTTTATTATAACTAATATAAAGTACAGTAAATAGGGGTTACTTTAAAAACAATTTTTTTTTTCAACTTGTAATTATGAGAAGAAATTATATGAGGACAGCCTTAAAAAGGATCCACCAAAAGTAAGTTTCGCAATTTAAAAAAATTACAGACCTAGAAAATTTTACGCAAATTAAGCGGGGGTAAATATGAACATAAAGCGTAATATAAAGCGTAATATAAAGCGTAATAAATATAAAGCGTAAACGGGGGTGAATATGAACAGCGGGGTGAAAATGAACGCTAGTACTAGCTTAACTTAATGGTGAAGCAGCACATAAAATATAGCTAAAAATTGAAAATTTTTGACTCACTAGCCTTAAATATAATGTGTGGAAGATAATTTTCGGCTGCCCTCAAAATTTTCTTTTCCCGCCTTTTCTTTATCGCATATAAACAGTACAAGCTACGTGGTTCGTGTTATTAACCCACCTATCAAGGAGTATCTTAAGAACCGCTCATCTAAACGTCATCAAAGTTACCTCAATTTAGGTTCAGGTAAATAATGTTCTAATAAAACAATAATTTAATGTATAACTTGTCTGTATCCGATTATAAGCTCATTTGAAAATGACATTTTTTTAACACGATTTTTTATTATATTTTAATTTTTAGAACTATGCCTCGAAATTACAAGAGAAAGGAAAACAGTAGAGCTTATAAAACAAGTCATACAAAAAAAGACTTAGAAATAGCTTTAATTAAAATCAAAAACCAAGGATTTAGCTTCAGGAAAGCTTCAAAAAAGTACAATATTCCATTAGGAACATTACACAAAAAGTTAAGCTTGGGGATCAAGTTCCGAAAAAAAACGGCGGACAAACCAGACTTGATAGTATAACAGAAAATTTATTTGTCCAAACAATTGTACATATGACTGATTGGAGGGTACCATTTGATTCTTTGGATATAAGACTTTTAGTCAAATCATATTGTGATAAAAGGAGTATAACTGACGCTCGATTCAAAAACAATATACCTGGGGTAGATTGGGTTCAGTCTTTCATAAAGAGACATAACTTAACAAACAGGGTTGCTGATAATGTTAAGCACAATAGAGCCATGGTCAATGAAGATACCCTTAACAAATATTTTGATAATTTGTATAAAGAGTTGAAGGATGTCCCTCCAGAAAATATCTATAACTATGATGAGACCAATATAACAGAGTCCAATCCAGGGTCCAAATCTGTTATTGTTCGTCGTGGCCTTGGGCACCGTGTCGAAAAAAAACAAGAACATTCGAAGCAGTCAAACAAAAAAAAACAAGAACATTCGAACAGGGTTGCTGATAATGTTACAGTAGAGCCATGGTCAATGAAGATACCCTTAACAAATATTTTGGTAATTTGTATAAAAAGTTGAAGGATATACCTCCAGAAAATATCTATAACTATGATGAGACCAATATAACAGACAAAATCCGTTATTGTTCGTCGTGGCTTTGGGCACCGTGTCGAAAAAAAATAAGAACATTCGAAGCAGTCAAACAAAAAAAAACAAGAACATTCGAACAGGGTTGCTGATAATGTTACAGTAGAGCCATGGTCAATGAAGATACCCTTAACAAATATTTTGGTAATTTGTATAATGAGTTGAAGGATATACCTCCAGAAAATATCTATAACTATGATGAGACCAATATAACAGACAAAATCCGTTATTGTTCGTCGTGGCCTTGGGCACCGTGTCGAAAAAAAACAAGAACATTCGAAGCAGTCGACCAGTTAAATGTTTTCTGGCAATGCTGTTGGAGAGTTTTTGCCGCCCATGGTAGTTTACAAAGCAAAGAACCTTTACCAGGGTTGGACTCAAGGTGGACCACCTGGAACTGTTTACGACATCACCCCTAACGGGTAGTTTGATGGTAGGACGTTTACCAGATGGTTTATGGAAATATATTTGCCTGTTGCTATTTCAAAAGCCGGAACAACACTATTGATTGGAGATAATCTTGGTTTACATTTTTCTCCTGAAGTTATTAAGCCACGATTCAACATAACATCAAGTTTATAACAATGCCCCCAAATGCGACTCATCTCTGCCAACCATTAGATGTTGCTGTTTTTAGAGGATTAAAGCAGTCGTGGAGGAGTATTCTTTTGAAGTGGAGATCAGAAAGTCGTATCAAAGGAGCTATCCCAAAAGAACATTTACCTACGCTTTTAAATAAACTAAATAATACTTTGCGACCAGTAGCTTTAGTTAGCGGATTTAAAGCAACGGGAATCTACCCTATGGACAGAACAGAGGTTATAAAACGTCTTCCAGGAAAATATAAAGACCATGGTGGTAATGACACTGTTATGGTTCTTAACGAATCTGTTTTAGATATTCTAAAAAACAATCTAGGGTTAGGCACAAATCCAACTACAAAACGCAAACCTCGTGGTCCAAAGGTGGTACCAGGTAAAAGAATTCATTCTTTAGTTGAGTCAATTCCATCAAGTTCAACAGAGCTAAAAAGCAACACAGATAATGATTGGTACTGTACTTTCTGTTACAAAAAATGGGTAGAGTTAAGCGACGACGTGTGGGTTCAATGCGACAAATGCAGTAAACCATATCACCTCCAGTGTTGTGGCCTCATTTATGATAAAGATGATTATTATGAGCTCAATATTGAAAATATCTTATACTTTGTATGCAGCATGTGTGAGTCATTTGAAGAAATTTGAGGATAGTGATATTTAATGTTCTGTTTTCATGTGGAACAGATTTGTAAATATTGTGATACATGTTAATATATTGAAAAAACTAGTTTTTAAACATAGTATGCTAATTTTTCACATGAACTTAGTTTAAGTAAAAATATGTTCTTTGTAAAATAAACTTAATGTTATCTGTTTTGATCTTTAACAGTTTTTTCCCCCATTGTAATAAGGTAATATAGCGATATACTAGAATATAGAAATAATATGTAGTGTTCAAAGTCACCCCGAATTGGCCGTTCATTTTCACCCCGTTTCGGAAATACGTATATGCTCGTATAAAACCAGAAAACTAAGGTATTTACTGCATAGTGTTGATCAGGCTTACGACTAATACAGGAAGCTGAGTAGTATAATGTTCTGTTACAGAAAAAATGATTGCAATTAGGCCAACAGTTTTCTTTCATGATGCAAAAATGTTCAAAAAGCGTTCATATTCACCCCCGTTTACGGTAGTTTTCGTAAAGTAAACAACTTTTGACTTAGACGCCAATACTAGATCTTAATACTTAGATTAATGTTGACGATCCTAAGCAAAATTTTGAACAAGTATTGAGTAAGATGGGTTTTTTCATTTTGTTATTAAATCTTATATATATAGTAATGTATATAAGTAAAAATTTAAAAATATATGATATTAGATAATTGATGTGCACGATTGAAAATTTTTGTGTTTTGATTACCTACAGTATTTTATTTGTAAACATTTCTCCTTCCAATCAATTTAAATGGTCCTTTTATTGATTTTATTTTGTAATATTTAATAACTAACTTCATAATGTAAATAACATAATAATAACTCTTTGAAAAAGTTCGAATATATTTCTACAAAGATTGAAAAGACAATCAATGTTTGTGTTACCAGTTGCACTGATGCTACTAATGTTATTTTACATTTTTTTATTTCTTTTTTATTAAAATTTCAAAAGTTATTCAAAAGGTTTCTTCATCATTTTAATGCTAACTTCAGTATGTTAGCATCAGCATCAAATTTGACTTTGGCTGAGGAAACAAAGCACATTTTATCAACAAATACAAATGTTTGTGCTAAAATTAAAGAGCATGAAATGTTGTGCACTGTTCATCATGTTGTACAAAAAACAAGAGGCATGAATAAAAGCTTTGAAGGTTTTTGTTCCATTTAATATATAGTAATTACATGGCAAATATATTTTTTTGTGTTGATGGTAAATAAAAGAAAATATAGTTGTATCGCACAAACCTTAAAACTAACTGATTTATTTAATAATCAATATTTTGTGAGCTAGGTAATTACTTTGCATATTTCTTCAAATAAAGACTTATGTTATTTATTTTACATATATAAATATATATATATATTAGGTACAAACAATGTTGCAGTTCTTCATTATCCAATAAGAAATAAGTTTATGTATATATAATTTATAATAATTAACAGTAACTATGTCATTCAAAATCTGTTTTTTCAAAAATATTAAAGAGTAAACACAAAGTATTTTTTGAGGATCATGATGTTTCTTACACTGGAGTACCATTTATTATTTCGTCAAATGGTAATCCAACATGGGAGTGATAAAAATAGTGAAGCTAAAACTCAGTAAAAAAGCAAGGATACACTGAAGCAGTCTTTTTAAGATATTCCAAGTCATAAGTTTAAATAGTATTTTTTAGTTTTTGTTCCTGTCTAAACTAAAATTAAAATTGGATTCTTTTTTTTGACATTTGAATTAAAAATGCATTTTGCGATATTTATTTATAATTTTTTTTATTCTTTCACAGACTTCAGATCATTCTTGCAGAAAAAAAAGAATAGTTTTGCAGATAATAAAGAAATTTGATTGTCCTGCCAAAGTTTTTATAAAAGAAATTATTGAATTTCCTAAGTTTAAGGTTTTATATTCTTAATTACCATAAATAATTAATTTTTGATATGCATATAACAATTTATAACAATTTTGGTCATGGTCTAATTTTAGTTGGTATTTCATGCATAAATTATAAATATTTTTTTAGCTAGATAGAGGTTCCTGCTAGTTACGGAAAAACATTTCTAAATAACTACGTTCTACTTTGGCATTGAAAAATATTTTTTTAATGTGCAGAAATTTATGTTTTGTTGATTCCTGCTATTTCTGCTCATAAAAACCATCAAACTGGTGATGTAAGTAACACCATTACAATTACGCTAGGTTTGAGACCACTGCAA